TAGATGTTCTCTAGAGGTCCCTTATAACTTCAACCATTCTGTGCTTCTGTGATTCTAGGATAAGTTACCTTTGGCTTTGGCTCCTGCCAGGGAGCAGGCTCCCGGATAAAGCCCTACTGCAGGAGCTGTGTTAAGGGCAGCTTTGCTCATCTCTGGTGTCTCATTTCTCTCTCAAGCAGCACAGAGCAAGAAACCTTGCTGAGGACTTTCCACAGACCAGAGCCTGCTGTGGTGCCTGATGCAGGAAGGCTACGTCCTGTCCCACAGTCTCCTACATATGACAGCCAGAGAAAGAGCAACTCACATCTGTCACCAGTTTGGAGGCTCTCCAGTGGATCGCAGTCCATGGTCAGGCTTTGTGCTGGTTCATCCTGCACAGCTTTGGTGCTATTTTGGACAAAGCCTGAAGCCCCCAACAAGCACCTAAGTGCCGCTTCCCGTACACCTCGGACCAGGACAGGGAGCTGCCAGGCCTGCGCTGCACGAGCACCTTCCCCCGTGGCCACAGGAGAGCTGCCCCAGCCCTTGGCACTGCCTGCAGCACATGCAGTGACCGGAGGGCTTCGTCAGCAGCTCCTGGACGCTCCGTGCGCTGCAGGCAGTGACTGCTCTCCAGGACRTRCGGGGCCATCTCGCCGCTCGCTGATGGGCTCTGCTGTCTCCCTGGTGCTGCCGTCAGCAGCGGAGCTCACAGCGGGAGGTGCCGCCTCACAGGGAGGTCTCTTGGGAGGCAGCCGGGCCCTCACTTCCCTGTGAGGCCTGGGTGATGCTGGGCGCTGCTCACGGACTCCCACCACTCTCCTTGGGGTCTCTTCACAGCAAGAAGAGGCAAAGGGAGGCAGCAGGGCCGTGCCAGGGCCCCTTGCCGATGGGCGGAGGGCTGCTTTGCAGAGCAGTTGTCCTCAGCACGCTGGGAAGAGGGTGTCTCCGTGTGCAGCTGGCCCCGCCAGGCCCTCTGGGCGTTCATTTGGCCTCCCCAGGCCTCCGTGAGCAGCTGGACCCCCGGGCACTCCGGGCTTTCGTGTGGTCTCCCCGGGCCTCCGTGCGCGTGTGGCCCCCCGGTCCCACCAGGATTTCATGTGGCATCTCTGGGCCTCAGTGCGCAGCTGCCCCCCGGGCCCTCCGGGCTGTAATGCGGCCTCCCCGGGCCTCTGTGCGCAGCAGGCCCCCCGGGCCTTCCAGATTTTCGTGCAGCCTCCCTTGTCCTCCGTATGCACGTGGCCCCCCGGGCCCTACAGGCTTTCGTGCAGCCTCCCCGGGCCTCCATGCGCAGCTGGCCCCCGTGGCCCTTCCAGGCTTTTGTGCAGCCTCCCTGGGCGTCCGTGCGCGTGTGGCTCCCCGAGCCCTCCGGGCTTCTGTGCGGCCTCCCCAGGCCTCCGTGCACAGCTCACCCTCTGGGCCCTCCAGGCTTTCGTGCCGCCTCCCTGGGCCTCCATGTGCAGCTGGCCCCCTGGGCCCTCAGGGCTTTCATGCTGACTCCCCGGGCCTCTGTGCACAGCTGGCCCCCTGGGCCCTTCTGGGCTTTCATGCAGCCTTCCCGGGACACTGTGCTCGTGTGCCCCCCAGGCCCTATGGGATTTCATGCGGCCTCTCCAGGCCACCGTGTGCACCTGGCCACCCTGGCTCTCTGGTCTTTCGTGCGACCTCCTTAGGCTTCCATGCGCGCGTGGCCCCCCAGGCCCTCCGGGCTTTCGTGTGGTCTCCCCAGGCCTCCGTGCACATGTGACCCCCTTGGCCCTTTGGGCTTTTGTGCAGCCTCCCTGTGCCTCCTTGCGCAGCTGGCCCCCCGGGCCCTACAGGATTTCGTGCGGCCTCCCCGGGCCTCCATGCACGCGTGGCCCCTGGGCACTCCGGGCTTTTGTGTGGCCTCCCCCGGCCTCCGTGCACTGCTGGACACCTGGGCCCTCCGAGCTTTCGTGCATCCTCCCCGGGCCTCCGTGCGTGTGTTGCCTCCTGGGCCCTCTGGGCTTTCGTGCGGCCTCCCCGGCCATCCATGCGCAGCTGCCCGTTGGGCCCTCCGGGCTTTCATGCGGCCTCCCCGGGCCTCTGTGCACAGCTTGTCCCCTGGGCCCCCGGGTTTCTGTGCGGCCTCCCCGGGCCTCCATGCGCATCTGGCCACCCGGATCCTCCGGGCTTTCATGCAGCCTCCCCAGTCCTCTGTGCACAGGTGGCCCCCTCGGTCCTCAGGGCTGTCGTGCGGCCTCCCCGGGCCTCTGTGTGCGCATGGCCCCCCAGGTCCTCTGGGTTTTTGTGTGGGCCCCTCAGGCCTCTGTTCGCAGCCGACCCCCTGGGCCCTCCGGGCATTAGTGCAGCCTCCCCGGGCCTCCGTGCGCAGCTGGCTCCCCGGGTTCTCCAGGCTTTCGTGTGGCCTCCTCGGGCCTCCGTGCGCGCGGGGCCCCCCCGGACCCTCGGGGCTTTAGTGCAGCCTCCCTGGGCCTCCGTGTGCAGCAGGCCCCCCGGGCCCTCCGGGCTTTCTTGCAGCCTCGCCGGTTCTCCGTGTGTGCCTGGACGCCCGGGCCCTCCAGCCCTTCGTGCGGCCTCTCCGAGCCTCCGTGCGCAGCTGGCCCCCCTGTGCACGTGGCTAATCTAGTACAACTGGGTGTTTAATCTTTGGTGTCCACCAGGTGGCACAGGGCTCTGACAAGTTTACAAACAGGTAAATTCGGAATGCACCAGATAGGCATCTTTGCTTTTATGGATGCCACCAACTACTCAGCAGAGCCACCTCTTTGTTGTGTGTTCCAGAGTGCACCCAAGTTTTACACCTTCCTAACTAGGCGATGCTTCGTTGTATGAACAATTTCATCACTGTATTACAACAGACTGCAGAAACACATATAAGATTCCAGCACTGACAAGACAGACATGGAGTGCAGCAACAGAAAGGATCTACACTATAAAATCTGCCATCTAGATAATGTTTATCCTTATTTAAGTGTTTAGGATATAGAGTGATACCACTGACTTGCCTTAAGTATCAGATCTACATCATCATTTTCAGCATCCTTTTGATATGCATTGCAGGGTGAATCCCACTCTAAAGCTAAATATCATGCAAAAAAAAAGAAAATCAGGTCTACTTTCTCTTTTGAGCCTGGATCCTATGGAAAACTCACCTGCTTTGTACCCGGATTTCCTCATCAAGGGGAGAGGTTCATTCATCCTATTATCATAACCCATTTGAAAATCTGTGAGCTGTGAGGATCTACAGAGCATGGAGATACAGCAGCTGCTTGAACAGGAGCAGAAACATCACTGAAGGATGCTGTAACCAGCTAGGAAAGTTTAATGGATTAGAATGAATTAGCCGTGGCTTTGGCACAGTGTTTTGCTGCATGTTTCTACTTCACTCAGCAAGGATTAAACATACCCAAAATAATGATGTGAAAGAAAGACATGGAAGGAGTCAAGAAGTCAATGCCAGAGTCTCTGGGAAAGAGCAAATCTCTAACCTCTGTGAGGTCCTCCTGACTCACAGATATATTGGAAGTGCTAACTGCACCTGGACAAGTGGTTTTCCGTATTTTCTCAGCATCAGTTTTTGAGTTGCTGAAAGAAACCTGTCAACCTCCACCATAACGGCGAGCGAGCAGCTCGTGGGGAGGGCAGTGCTTCAGGGGCTCACGAGATGGGCATTTTAGCCTGTTGCCAGATGTAATCAAACCACACACACTGCACAGCTCTACAGCAACCTCCTACAATGGGCCAGCAAGATGCCATTTTAATAGGAAAATAAATGTCAAGAGTTTGCTTCTATGCAAAAGGAGAGAGCTATAAATATTCCAGTCTGCTACAAAACAACAAAGCACATTAAGACATTTCACACACCTTTCATAAGCACAGTCAATGCCACACAAGAAACAGGCTTTAGGGAGAGTATTTCTACCAAAAGCAGTTGCAAAAGGAGTGTGCTTTCTTGCAGTCAGATGAGGCAGGTGGCAGCACCTGGGACAACATCTGTGCCACACACACAAAGAGCCCCTGAACAGCCGGTTTTATTTAGATGGGGGGATTTAGGGGCAAACCCTTGCCCGCTGTGGCTTCCAGACTGGGGCAGCACTCAGGCAGCCTGGGTGCTTCCCGGAGCGCCATGAGCTCTAAGGCCTAAGATGGCTGCCACGGGGCGTCACTGTACCGTCAAGCTGCAGCCTAAGATGGCTGCTGGGGAAGCGCCCTGGCCGGCAGGTGAGGGGCAGGGACTGAGCCCTGTCCCCAGCCTCCGGCACCCCTGCCAGCAGTGACTGCCACATGGGTGGGCAACAAAGCGCTAGGGAGAAGGTGGGCAAGTGGGTGAGGAGACGGGAGGAGGCAGAGCTGGGGCTATGCCGGGAAATGCTTCCACACAGTGGGACACTGAATTTGGGCTCTCTGAACATATTTGTGATTTATCTGCCTATATCCACCAGCAGCGTGGCAGTGCCTTCCTGCCCTCCATGTGTTGCCTCTGTCACCCACTGCCCTCATTCGGCTTTCTTACTGCTGCATCCCTTATGCCTCATGACGTTTCTCTTTCTGCGTCCCATATAAGGCCCACAGCACTTCGGTTTCTGAGTGACTCAACGCCAGCATTGGGTTTTTGAACTCGAGGCTCAGCAGAGGGAGGCCGCTCGCTGCCGCCTCGGCTGCTTTCACAGTAACGCCGCTAACGGCAAGCTCTGAGGAAGCCAGAAAGTGGCAGCGGCAGCAGGAGTCACCTGGCCCTCTAGCAAGCCTGCCCCACCAGGGCCCCCTACGTAATCATGACGTGACTCCTGCTTTCCTAAGAGCTGGTGATGAGAAAAGAAAAAAAAAAAAAAAAANAAAAAAAAAAAAAAAAAAAAAAAAGGGGGGGGGTGTCAGGGAAAAAAAAAAGCCACTAAGAAACCCACGGACATGTTTCTCATGGCAGGACAGAGCCGGCGGGGTGGCAGCGCTGGGCAGAGGAGGAGCTCGTCGTCGCCGCTGGCCTCGCGCGGTGGCTCCCGACCGGGAGCTGCTGGTGCCCACTGACTGCGGCGGCTCGTGGCCGTCCCCGGAGGTGAGTACGTGCCGCCTTCATGTCAGGGAATTAATGGCACGAAGGCTGTTTTGGTGGTGGAGGGGCTGAGCACCAGCGAAAGGACTGCCAAGAGCCCTTCAAAGTGAAACCCCTGTTAGGCTTTTCTTCTGCATTTTCTCTTCGGTTCTTTTTTTTTTTTTTTTTTTTTTTTTCCTCCTTCCTTTCTCACTCCCTTACATATGATCTATGACCATAGGTGGCCCCAGGCTCACCTCTTTGCATAGACTCCTGATACTTAGCCTTGGTGCCCAGCACACGGACAACTGCCCGTGCGCATCCGTGCGCGCGCACATCCTCACCATCTTGCACTGCGTCCTGCCTCACCCTGCAGCCTGTCCCCTGTTCACAGCATGGAGTGATGGGGTTTTGATTTTGCCGTGTGCTTCTGCTGTGTTCGCAGCAGCGGGAGCGGCTCAGTGCCTGTTCGTGCCCTGCTTTGCTGCTCTTGGTTTGCTCTTGTCCGCTTCCTGGGAACACCAGCATTCGCGTCATAGCCCTGGACTGGCTAAGGAGGAATTTATTCTGTGGAGCAGGCACTGTCCTTTAGCTGCTGGAGCATCATCTGGTGTCTCTCTGGGAGCAGCTGGCTGAGCAGCAGAGTGATAAAACTGCATGAGCTTTAAGGAGCCTGCCATAGCTCCACAGAACAGCCTCGGAGGAACGCGCTTCCTCCTGCCAGCGGCTCCATCCTCGCCGCAGGCCCAGGCTCCAGGCCCAGGGAGTATCCGCGTGCCCTCCTTTAAGCCTGGCTTGCTGAAACAGCAGTGAGGGGAGAGGCAGCCAGCATCTGCTATGCCAGCGGTTATTATGGAATGAATATATGTCTAGGCCAAGCAAAAGCTCCCATCACGAATGTCCCTGTATGATAACAGCATTTGCTGCACTCTGTGGCTTAACCAGGACAAATTCTCCTGTGAATTTCCTAAACTACAGAGCATGCACTGAAAGCACAACCTGTTCTGCTAGATGCTTTGCACACACTTAAAACCAGCTTCCCTCTCCCTGTCTCCTCATTATCTTCTCCTCTATTTGAAATCCTCCTCTGATGCTGCTAGTTCCAGCTGCAAACCCTGTTCTGAAAAACCTCATCCTCTATTTCAAAGACAGTGTAGAAAAGGAACACGTGAAAATCAGACTTTTTGCTTACTCTGTACGGGGCAGATGCTGATGCAGATGTCCTTCACTATGTCTCTTCTGACATTAGAAGCACTGAGATGAGGGAATATAAAACATAAATGATCTGGACATTACAAGCCTTCACAGATTACCAGCACCATGCAGCACTGTTTTCTTTCTGTCACAGCTCCTCTTATAAGATGTTTCTTCAGTTTACAAAGCTTCTGGAGACAAGTCTTTTCCTCTCTTGCTTTGAAAAAGCTTTTACATCTCATTTCAAAGACGGGGAGGAGTTACTGTCATTTCACCCTCTCCCTCGCACACTTTCCCCTCTGAAACACGTTTGACTGAGAGAAAGAAAGACCACTATTGTGAAGGCACTCAGGGGATTTGTATAAAGGCAGGTGTCAGGTAATATACATTTATTCTACTTGGAGGGAGATGTAAATTATTGTGAGTTACTGCGCGTTTCTGCAGCTTGGGGTGATGTAGTTTTGCTTTTGAATTCTACGGCCGACAACTGTCGTGAAATTTTCATGGGAAAATGGGATTATTTAATCCATCCTTTTCTGCCCTGGAGTTGTGCTGTCGTTATTGCTGCAGCAAAATAATGAATCTCACAGTGAAGAATGTAAAACATAAAATATTTTAAATAGATTAATTACAGGTTGTGATAAATAGCGTAGCCACGAACATGGAGCATTCACAAATGTCTATTTCAGTGGCAGTCTTTGTGATTAGAAGCACTTTGGAATCAGAAGCTCAGAAATCTGCATCCAGAGCTTGAATGTGTGCTGGCTTATGTCTGTAAGTATAAAGCCAAAGGTTGTGCCTTGAAACCATTTTTCCTGATGGCTCTCAGTGAACTGCAAAACATGACAGTTCCTCTCCTGCAGGCAAAAAATTGTCCCTAGAGTTTATTAACATTGCCTAGCTTTAACTAAATGGCAAGAGATTTGGAAATATATAGTCAATAGGCCTTTAGTAATACTCCTGGAAAAATGCCTACTGTCAGAGCAGTCGATGCCACCATGCCGTCCTTCTGCTGTGTGCCAACTGGAGTCTCCCTTTTCACAAAAAAACCCAAAAAATCACGGCAGACTCAGACCAATAGTAACATTTAGTTAGTTGTGACAGCAATAGACCTGTCTTTGATCTTTGCCTAATGCTAGAACAAATGCTCTTAGTAAGCTTTACAGTCATCCTACCTAACATATAGTAGAGAAAACACAGAGAGAAGTACTGATAGGCAAAAGAAAATGAAACTGCTGCTCTGAATTCTGTGGAATTAACCAAATTTCCCCTTCTACATAAGCATTAAGATTGCAGATTTAAAGTATAACTTAATGAAACAGTGTGTATTTGCTGAAAAAGAAAAGGATTGCTTGCATGTATGACAGAGATGTATATCTCTGGATGTTGCAAATCTGCCAAATCTCATTCTGCCATTTGTAATTGTATGGTTATTTACATAAGCAACATAAAATGCAGGTCAAGCTATAGAATCTTGCTTTTGCTAGCAGGCACGCAGTAATAATAAATTAATATCAAATGAATGCAAAAACTCTTTTCCAAGCTTTATGGTGAATTTCTTTTCTGAAAACTTTGGTCATGTAATAAATAAATGCAAAACTGGGGAAAGAGCTATGTTTCCCATTTGCCAACTTTTGATGACACTGACGTATACTTATTTAGACTTATTTAGTCCTATTTGCCAAATCTTTTTGGGTTTAAGGATACTTTGACTAGGTTTATGAAAGCATTTGAAAGCACTGGTTCTACTGCTTTCCCAGTTTATTGTATAATTCATACTATTGCCTATTATACGTATGATATTGTTTATTCCTCTCTTACTGGGACTTGCACCTTATACTCCAGCAAAGGCTGCACTGACCGGGATCCCCTCTGTTTCTGCTTGCTTCAGTCATAACACAATTCACCTTCCCGTTTGCCTCATCCAGAAGGCTCATTAATTTCCTGTGAGATTTAGATGCCTGTACCCCTAAACATTTTTGAACAATAGATTGTGACTGGAAATTTTTACCACTACCATCCTATGTCCCATCTCCTTTCACTAAAAATTTAGCTCCTGCATTTCATAGGTTGTTTTCTGAACATGGGAGTAAAATTGCTTTAATTACTCTTGCAATTTTATTTTTTGTCATACAGGTGTTAGGAAGCAGATTGGTCTAGCAGAAGCCACTGGTTCTGTAGAGGTATGCTTTATTTTTGCAAATCTATATTAACATGTGTGTGACAATGTTCTTCTTTATTGTTTAATAGTGTAGTAATAATAACAAAAGGAGGAGAGAAAATCTATCCTTGAATAATTTTAGACCTTACAAATTACAACCAGATGAATTTTTGGAAGCATATTTCATTCAAAAAAAAAGTGGCTTATTAGTGCCCCCCAAAATGTTCTGTACAACTAGAAAAATATACATTTAAAAAATGGAAGCTCTTTTTAGGAAAATTTCAATTTCTATACTTCTAAACATTTGAATTTACCAAAATGGTACAATTTTTCATGTCAAGATGGTCTTTTCTTGCTGAAATCAATCATTTCTTTAGGAGAGAAAAGAAATTAGTTGTCCCGAAACATTTCATTTCAGATGAAAACAAAATGCTTTCTCTTCACCTCGTAGAAGCAGGTCTCTAGATGTTCGGTGCTGCCATGGAAAGAGCTTTGCATGCAGCTCTGTTGCAGGGCATTCTTGTATGTATAATATCTTGTATATATCTCAGAAGAGCTGCAATCTTGTATTTGAAGAGGAAATTCAAGTATAGCAATAACTGGACAGAGGGACTATAGTTGTTTAGATGGTGTACTGAGATAAACATTGCAACTTCACTCATAAGAACACAATTTTGTGCATTTTATAACATTGCCAACAAAAAGTTTTCCTTAGCTCTCTATAACTGAGACATATTTGGAGTTGTGAAACAGGTTTGCATCTTGTACTGAAACATAATGGTGATGTCTGAGGATGTATTTTGCACCCAAAATCTATGTGGCCTTTATCTCAAAAAAATTTGCTAACCTAAATACTAATGCAATAATAATGCAATACTAATTTAATAATAATACAATACTAATTTAATAATACAATACTAATACATACTAATACAATTGGTATTAAGATACCAATATATTATGAGCACACAGGATGAAGCAGGACAAAGTGCACATTTTCAGTTTGTTGCACACTCCATGGTTGGGCTGAGGTGGACAGGGGAAAATGAAATTTTGAGTGAAGGATATACCGGCCTTTTTTATGTATTTTCAGTTGAAATTTTAAATGAAGGATACTGGCTTTTTTCATGTATTTTCAGCTGAAACTTTCAGGTATCCATTGTACAAAGCCATTCCATTTATGTGGTTTGGATGTTTTAGACTGAAGTTTTTTAAAATCCATTCCACAGATCATACCAAAACTGATCAGTAGCCAGCATTATCTTTGATTGTTCAAGATTTCAAAGGAATAAATAACCGAGCAGGCAGATTTCAGTAGTTGATCCCAGCAGTCTAGGCTGTTAATCGTGTACTGAAGGCAGGTAATGAGCATACTCAAACGTTGTATACAGAAGATAGTTATTACATGCCAATTTTCCCACGTCTAGTGCAACTATCAGAAAAAATACCACAATGGTTACCAGTAGAAAGTTATCCGTGCCCATGTTATTGGAGTCACCTGCAGAGACCGGTCTGTATTTCAGAAAAGACTAATGCATCTAAACACTGACTCTTCTCATTACTAAGCCTAGCAGGCCCCATTTTAAAAGACCTCTTTTAAAACTCATCCGTGGAGGTGTGTCTGGAGAGCCCTCCCGTAATAAAAAGACTCCTAATAATGGACTATTCTAAGAAAAGAATCCAACTGTAACGTAAAAGGATGCCTTTAGTTGCAACATGTTTTGAGGTACTTCAGAATTGCTTCCCTAAAATAAAGCAATGTTGAGAGGTAAAATCAAAACGTGAAGAGGTTTTGGTTTTGCTATTTTTCTATCACGGGAAAGGTTTCTCTCTCTCTCTCTCTGTGTTTTTGAGACTTTAGTCCTTGGTGTGTATTGTAAGAGTCAGTCAAGTTTTTGTGTAACTGAAAGCTGAGATTCCTACCTAATGAAATGACTTCATGTTGCAGCGGCTTCCAAGAGAACAACAAATATTAGGGAAGTCGTATTAATAAGCAGCTTTCAATATTTATCACATGAATGGCCATAAACATTAGTCCATCTGCAAGGAAGGACTCAAAAATAAAGACCCTCCTCATTGTGGCCCCTGACCTGATTTTTGCACTCAAATACAAGCCTTCAGAGCACAATCTGGGTTGTGTTGTTTACCCACTGCTTACATCTGGTGAAAGTGTCCCACGTACATGAATATTTCAAGGAACACGCCAAAGGATGGAGGAGATTGTGCACTTTCTAGTGCTGGTTTCTGTAAAAACAGTACAGCCAGGCTTCTGATTTTGGCTGCTCGGGCAGCAATCTGGAATAAGTCATGCAGTGTTAGTGGAGAGACTCCAGATTTGACTCCAGCGTGGTTTCAGTTAAAACCCAAGTCCTAATTTTCTCTTCCAATGATTTTTATGAAAGAGCAGCAATCGGTTTTAGGCTGGGAAAATTATTTCTAGGATCAAACTCTGAGTTTACATTAACATTTTCACTTCAGTTACCCAGAAGTTTGCATTATGAATCTGCTAGAGCACTGATAAGCCCTCAATTGCTTTGGAGCCAAAGAAACTCAATGAATTGGGACCGAAATGGGGAGTTTCATCTTTCGTACAAGTGGGTTTGTCACCGATTCTGTGTAGAATATATAGAAACTCAGGCAGAGTGTGGCCGATGGATGACTCTGCCTTGCAAAATCTTCAAAAGTTTCATTTATTTCCTGTGATAACAGAGTGAAAGGGAAACCTCTGAAAGAAAATCTTGATATTAACAATTAATGGATGATAGATGTAATCACACTCTGTAGTGGGTGCACTTTGCGCACAGAAGAGGAGGCTGGGGAAGCTTCAAGACGAGCGATTGCAAACTGCTTATTTCCTTTAACAAGATGAAAGAAAGCCTTCAGAGACCGTCAGTTGCTCTGACAGGACTCCTGCAAAAGAACACGAAAGTGGGAGCACTCTTGCCAAAAAATAATGAGAAGAGCAGCATGCACAGAAATTTCCTGTGAAATATGCACAGGAACATGCTCTGCTGCTGCTCTGCTCTTTGCTTCTCTGTATCTTAAGGACAACAGCTTCTATTTTATAAACATCAGTTTCTCACTTTGCAACTTAAGGATAAGCAGTGGTAAGTGTCTCATTCAGGATCTGCGCTAAGTTCTAACCCCAGGTGCTGTGATCCATCCTGGAGCCTGGGGGTTCTTGCACTGCAGCAAAGGAGAGTTCACCTCTGCCCACTTGCAGCAAAAAAGCTGCTTTTCTCCCATTGCAAAACCCTACTGGCTACCTGGGTCTGCACAACTCAACAGAAGGCCTCATGCTGCTTTCTAAGCCAGGAATATTTTATAGCTGTTGGTGTAATTGCACAAGGAGCTGGAGGCGCAGGCAGGTGAAAGTCTTACTAGCTGGGCAAAATGTGTTGATTGGGTGTTTTGAAACAAGTGAAAGAAATTAAGATCAGCTGTTGGAGATGGTTTCTTTTGTGGTGGCTAGAGTTTGGTGAAAAATGTAGTTCAGAAAAGATGTGGGGGGATCCTTTTTTTGTGCAGAGTTTGTTCTGCCTTTCCCTTTGAATTGTCTCTCTGAGAAGGGGATTTTGCAGCTTGTAGAGAGGGGCGATTCTCTCCTTTGCAATTGATTCCACTCAGTTTTTAAACAGTAATTTCACGTTCCTTTAGACCTACTAATTACTGGTGATTGCATTTAGGAAAGATGAGAAAGGTGTCAAATTCCTTCCTGTCAGTCTTTGACTTCTGATTTCCAAGACTGAAAGCCACCGACTTGCTGAAATTGCAGGCAGCCTTGCTGAAGTCAGCATTGCTGACCTGGCCTCGGGAAAAGCTCTTCTCCTCTGCTTAATTTTAAACACCTCCCTGGGCCGCATGGACGTCACAGCGAGCAGTGACCTTCTTGCTCCGTGGTGAGGAAGGGCCTCCTCACCTTCGGGTGGAGACCGCATCTCATTTCTTCCTCACGCTGAAGCATCACTGTAACATCTGGGATAACCTTCAGATAATTACCAGCTTATCTTCGTGCATTGATCTTCACTTTTAAAGAAACTATTGCGCCAGCAGATTTTGTCAGCTTCGGTATGAAGCGGGTGGAATTTTCCGTCCTTCTGGGTAGGCAGAGAGATGTAGAAAGCACCTGCGTGTCCGCACGTACCTCGGAGGCACACGATGAGCAGGCGGGTGCCTCTTTGACCGTGGGCAACCCTGTTCGCTCCTGGGTTAATTCTCTTCGGGGAATCGTGTGAGTGAAGGTGTAACGATTTGCGTTACATTACATTACATTACATTACACCGTGGCAAATGCAGCCGCTTTTGCTGGTTGCTGTTCGCGCAGAAGGCCAAATGCTGATCCTAATAAAACATGAAGACACACACAAGAGTTAGCAGGTTCATAATTTTCATCTACGATGGGGTTACAGTAACATATTTTATGTTACTTATGACTTTTCTCTAAATCACAGGACAAACGCTTGAGGTCTGATCGCAGAAATCCTCAGCTTGTCTTTATTCACAGACATAATTTTGCACCCTCAGGTGGGGAATGGAGCAGCCTTGACTGGTAATATGCTTTTGTAGTCCATAAACATCCAGGATACGGTTGCAGGCTTGCCTTCTCACCTTAAATCCTGTTGACGATAGTCTTTGGTAGTCTGTGCTCAGTGTGATGGCTTGACAGAACACACTGCTCCGCGCTGTGCTGGTGCCGGAGCTCTCAGTGAGGTGCTCGTGTTGGAAGAAGCCGCCAGACTGCGGCGGCGTAGCCTGGTTGAGCTTGGGATATGATTAATATGTATAAGTTCAGGAAGGGAGAATGCAGGGAGGAAGGGGACAGGCTGTTCTCACTGGTGGCCAGCGATAGGACGAGGGGTAATGGCCACAAGCTGAAGCACAAGAAGTTCCGTCTCCAGGTGAGGAGCAACTTCTTTACTCTTAGGGTGACAGAGCAGTGGAACAGGCTGCCCAGGGAGGTTGTGGAGTCTCCTGCTCTGGAGGTCTTCAGAACCCGCCTGGATGCCACCCTGTGCCACATGCTGTAGGTGTGCCTGCTTGAGCAGGAAGGTTGGACTAGATGATCTGTAGAGGTCCCTTCCAACCTTAAATATTCTGTGATTCTGTGATTCTGTTGTCAAGGGCGGCGTGAGTTGGCTTGGGTGGATTTGAGCCTGTCTCAGCAAGGCTCTTCCTAAGTGAAACAGCTCAGGAATCTCTGCATTGCCTTGTACAGTGTGGAAATGGCAGGAGAGAGGAGAGGGGCCGCCTTGAAAGGGATGCGGTTCAGTTATTTAGCCTTCGTTCGTACCTGGGGCAAGGACGTCTTTGTCGCTGCTGAAACTGGAAGAACAAAAAACATCCGGGTGAAAAGATACCTAAAGCCACACTCGTGGAGTTGTATCCAGACCATTTTGCAAGCAGTCTGCTTTCCAAAGAAAAAGTCAGTAATCTTTAAAAAAAAAAAAAAAGTCATCAAATATTTAACCATTTCATTGTGTTTTCTGATGAAATGCTTGAGTTTCGGGAGCTAGTAATTCAACTGACTTTCTCAACCCACTGAAAAAGAAATCAGTATTTTCCACTTGAAGTATGCGATAAAATGGGCAGGGTGGGGTGGGCTGAGAAGGACTTTCATTAAAATCCTTTCCTAGAGAAAAAAAAGTGTATTTGTAGACTATCTTGTATTGAGCGGAAAGGGAAGGTTTCAGAGGAACAGAGGCAAGTTGCATGGAGCAAACGTTACGTGATTATTCTGCATCAGCACGTAGCGGGGGATTTGGACATGACCAAACGAGCTGCAGAACTCTGTAGTTTGCCAAGAAAGAATCAGCAGTAATGTTAGAGGTTTTAAGAGCTTTTCAGTGGATTTTCAACCTCGTGGTGCTTTTTAGACCCACAGTCAAATCTAGAGGTCTGCTTGTTGCAAGCAGAATTGTCAGCGGGGTTGCACCTGAGCTAGTTTTGAGGTCCGTTACTGCCAGCAGTGCAGCTTTATGGGGCAGACTCTGGCCACAAGTGCTGGGGAGCTGCGGGAGGGGAAGCTGCCAGCAGCTCTGTGGCTGGTGGGCAGCTCGGGGAGGTTTCTATGGGCTGAAGCTTCATACCTCAAGACCAAAATTACAGCTACACCAAAATTACAACTACACGAGGAACCTGTTGAAATTAAGTCCCAGGTGAGCCTAGAATTTTAGTACCCCTGAAAGTTAGAAATAGCCTTTGGACTCCAAATCTGTGGGTTTCGTGAGTATTTGGCTTATTCTCTTTGCTTCTCAGTCAGTTCTGCTTTGAATCTGAGTTTAAAGCTCTGCCAACAAGAACGATTCTTCCATGAGCCGCAACCATAGAAATAGTTGTCTGGCAGGTTAGGAACTGTCATTTGATTTGCTCTTTTCCATCTGCTTTATTGGATAGACCACGTTACCGAAAGTTACCCACTGAAACATGAGAAGTGAATAATACCCGTTCTCGATAGCACCCGTTATATACTGCGTCATTGTGAATGTGGAACAGGCAGGAACAGGAGTGATTAGAGAGGAATCCTTTCATATAGGCAGCGCCTTTAGAGAGTATTGTGAAATACTACCAAACCACAGCCTGCTTTATTATGATTATTACTAAAGTTACCGAGCAGCAGAGAAGTATGAAACAGTATTTACTAATGTCACTCTTCTAAGGCTGCATGGGGACAGTGTGGCGTTCCTGGCAGCAGTTTCGGAGGTTTCTCTCGTAAATCATGCCATGCTCCTTCGGGCCTGTTTATTATCTCCTTTTCTGAGTGCACATTCTGAATAACTCCTGCGGGTTAGATACTGATGTACCAGAGCGACTGGAGATAAACAACTGAGTTCTGATTTAATCACAGCTGGTATCAAGTGAAAGAAGGAGAGACAACTATCGTCTGATATGTACTAACTTAAGGCAAAGAGCCAACTGGGCAAAACTTGTGTCTGTTGCAACTTTCACAGCTCAAATTCTCTTCCTGGTTTCACTAAGGTGAAGCTGTTTGTTTAGAAGTGTGCATAAAATCTAGTATGTAGTGTATGCTTCAATCTGTGCGTGTAATGGGAAAGGATGCCAATATTACAACAAATGAAACTATTTAAGGCTACCCTCTGTCAGGCTTACTTTTTTGTAAAAAGCAGATGTTCACTTCAGGAGATAGAAATCTCCAACGTGGAGAAGATATACTTAGTCATGATATACAATGACGGACTTTTAAATTACATTGATTCTTCTTATTTAGTGTAGACAGGCGTAGATTTATGCTTGGCTTTGATTCTTGTTTTTGACTAAGAATGTCCCACTCAGCTCCTTTTTTCAGGGAGATATCAAGCATAAAAATGTTATCAGTGGTTGCAGATATGAATTGGTGATATAAGTAAGGGGAGATAAACGGAGACACAAAGATTTAAGAAAAAGTTTGCAGTTTATGCAAAGTGAAGTCATATTGAGTAGTAGTAAAATTTAGGTTCATATGATAGAGAGTAGACTGAAAAGAATAAAGTATTCATTATATTAATATGATTGAACTTTGTATGTAATTCTGTTCATCTTCTAATTCAACGAAAACCTGAGACCACGACTGCAGTTCTGTAGCTTCTGTAACCCACTCACTGGAAATGTATTTAACACCCAGATTCAAGCAATATTTTAGGATATAAGATCTGTCATATTGAGTCAGCTCAAGCTTCTACCTGGACTGCTCTTTTTTTTTTCTTTTTTTTTTTCCTTCTCTTTAAGAATAGTTTCTAATGGGACAGTCAGGAAGGGGTTATAGTAGTCAGGGTGCCTATGGAATAATTCTGTTCTGCTTATAGCGATGTGCAGTTACTGTGCATCTTGTTTAATAGCCCTTGGTCAAATTGTGTGCTCTTAATTTGTGTGATTCTTTTTTGATCCCACTTTCATTTTTGATAACTATGGTATCCCAGGGCAGCGAATTACAGATTTTGATTATACATCATGTGGAGATGTTCTTCCTTTTGTTACTGTGAAATACCGAAAGTTCCATATTCTCTGTTCTTGAGAAATAACGATTGATCGTTTCTTTGTGCAGAAATAGTGTTATATCTTTGACTGTTCTAGGTTGCCCTTCACTAGACCTATCCTAATTTTATTATAGCTCTGAAAAGAAGAATGAAGTAATTTGAGAAGGGAGGTCTTGATTTTTGATCACAGCAAAGTGAGAGTCACCAGTTGTTCTATGAGACCTATATTTTCTTTTTAAAAAGCTTATATCATCTTGTAGATCTGCAGAGAATCAGTTCCTGTTAGATGTAAGCTTTTGCTGGAGAACTATGTACAACCTGCTGGAAAGTGCAATTCTTCAGAGTTTGCTCTGATCTGCTGCTCAGCCTGGAGATAAGGGCCAGAAGAGGAGACGGGTCTGAACCAAACCGCTACAGCCTGAGCCCTAGCATGGCCTTCTCGTAGTGGAATGAAGGTAGTTTTATCAGAAATGAGAATCTTATGACCAAGTAGAGTATAAGTAGGAAAACCTCAATAGAATGCACCCTCATTTTCACAGACGTGGAGATGTTTTAGCATATGCATTAAAGTGAGACACTGGACAGTTAGTCCTTCACAACCGTGGGTGTTCTGTACAGGCTGGTGGGATAATTGAGATAGTTATGCCAGGAGTAAAATCTTTGCTGTGCCCATCAACTTTTCAGTCATTGGACAGGGGCATCACTAATTAGATATATTGTAGATTAAGCAAGTATGCCATTTTATGTACATTTTTGTGTACTTAATGGAAAAACAGTGCAGTGGTTATGTAAAAATTTGGCTTTCCTGTTCCTGCTGAACAGACAAAGACTGGCTTTTCTCAAAGGCTTTTCTCACCAGATGGGCATGGCTTGAGAAGGATACTGTGTGTGAATGAAACTAACGTGACAGCAGTGACAGTTGGGTGCAAAATTGGTGCAAGTTGGGTGCAAAATGAAGGGCTACCAATATTTTACAAGACTTCTGTTCTTGGTCTCCCAGCCAGGATGCAGATAAAGCGGCACACGGCTGATGTGTGGGCAAGACCTGTGTGGCAGAATCTCCCTGGTAGTTGTCTCCCACATTTCCAGCAGCAGAAACAAGTACCACGACACCTTAGGAAATATTGGTTGCATGATGCACTTGATCAAAATGATTGTCCAATATTTATTCATTTTAAAGTTTCCACTTGTACACTCAAATTGCTAGAATCTCTACTCACAGAGAGCCTCCCAGGACGATCTCTTACCCTTAAAAGGCCAGATCCTGCCTCCGATAAGTATTTCCCCTGCCTCCCACTTCTCCCACCACTTGCCCTGCATCTTCTTCAGCTCCAAATAAGTGTTACTGTGCCCGCTGTCTGGTCTGACCCATGACTGCTCCATGGCCTAAGTTCTCCCTGCTCATGATTTCACATCCCATTTGCTTCAATCCCGGTGTCCCTAATGTGGTGTCCTGAGAAAACCTCCACCTTGGTGCAGTGAGTTAAAGTGTGAGGGGCTAAACTTATGCGGAAAAAAAAAGTTGTTTAACTTTTTTTTTAAACTTAACTTTAAAGGGATGGACTGAGTATGCTGGAAGGAAGAGTTCATTTTGGTTGTGACTTTTTCTTTCTCACAAATGCTTCATTTTATTTGTGATGTGCATTTTATTTATGATGCTTCGCAGCTATGTTGGACCATGAGTGCTGGTCACATTAACTTAAGCTTCCTCTTATAAGGTCTCCTTATGACAGGCGCTGAAGCAAGAGAAGGACACGGAGAAAACAAACTGCTTTCCTCAATACGGGTGTTGAGTTTACACAGTGAAAGAGCCACCTGTCAATCCTTGACTCATTCAGCAAAGAAGTCACGTCAAATACTAACCTGAAAAATTCCTGGTAAGTGATTAAACACTGAAACAATAGCATTTTTCTGCATCTTGATGCTATCTGAAACCACAGACATCCTCAGTGATACTCTCCCTTTGATGCTTTGAGATCAGAAGTAATTTTGATCAAAAACTGGAGGAGTTACCCCAAACATATTAATGGTGAAGGAGATTCTTTTGTTTTGATCTTCAGTTGTGCCCGGAACCTTTGCACACTGCTTAAGATCTCAAAGAGCAAATGTTTTTAATTATAAAGTCACACTAATTTGGCAGAGAATACCTTCATGATACTTGTCCTGATTTAAACCAGAACATAATTCTAGTCATATTGAGCAAATTCTTATAACAAGGAAATGTGTGCTTTTTTTTCTATTTTTCACGTTTGCATTGTGGAAAAATCACCATTGATAGCAACCTCCCAATACTGAAAGTCCAAATTTGCAAAAATAAATAAATAGCAGATATTTTGCCTGCAGGCAACAAAATATTGAATCAAATAGCTTCTATAAAAGACAAGGATTTTTAGGCTAGGAAGGGTTTTGTGCCTTACCTGATTTTTCAAAATCCACTTTTTTTAACAACTTCTTTGTTGGGTGTTAGCCTGAGATTCATTGAAAAGTGGTATCATTTTCATAGAGCACTATGCAAAAAAGAGAGCACTTTGATTTCAAAAATGTATTTCTTATATGATTTCTGAAATTGGATTCTTAAGAAATGACTGATCACTTCTGGAAGAACAAACTATTCTAAAGCAGTCTTTCACATGAAAAATGGAATGGGAAAATGACCATAATAATAAAAAAAAAACTCTGCAAACTAATTACAATTGGACAATGTTTTGGAATTAATGTTTTCCATGATGTGTGAGCTCTTTTCACTAGTGTGAGTAAGAACGTTGTAATTTGTGTTACTGTAAGTCTGTCATTGAACTTGCACGCTTCTGTACGCAGGGGATGTGCAGTACCTGCCCAAATAGATAGATATCAGGCTTTGAGAGATGAATGTCTTTGAATTATGTATTGCCATTTCCTTATCAGTCAGCAAGAAAAGAGCAAATCACATAACTCATAATTAATTGATGTTGCAAAAAGGTGGGCTGATCAGTCCTGCTGATCATTGGCTGTGTTGATTTTCAACAAAGCACTCCAGACTTTCTAAAGAAATTGGACTTCTCTCATCACCTGTGACTCTGAGTATGACCATTTAATTTGATTCCTAGCTAGGTCTTTGTTTCAAGATTGAAGATACCAAAACTGAATGTTTCCAGCTGAAAAAAAAAGAGAAAGGCTAGGCTTTTGTTGTGTTTATTTTCTCCCCCAAGTTTTGGCAATTTTAAGACAACTTTTTTTCCTTGGGAGAATACTTTCAGTTGAAAATGTCAACCAGCCCTCCTCCCCACAGCATTTTGACCAGCTCTGCCAGGAACCTTTCTGATGTTGCATCTATGACTCAGAAAAGCACTTTACAGTTCTATAAACAGGTACTGTTATTATTCCAGCTACTTGGCATGGCAGAGCACTGCCACGAGTGTATTGCACGGCTAGTGACATATATTATAACCTGAAAGGAAGTGTGGAGGGCATATTGACCAATATTTGTGTTTTGGTCTTGTGGAACTCAACAGTCACCTAGTCATGAGGCTAAAATGAAGGAGGTACAAGAGCTGTGGGGATGGAAATGTGGCAAATACCCAAACTTCAGTGCATTAATTACCAATCCAAGTAAAACAATCATGCTCTTTACCATTTTTGGCTAGTCCTGTGGAGGTAACAACTCATCACACATACCTGGGTTGCTCCTTCTAGCTCAGTTTTCTGCTAGAAGGGACCTAGATCATGAGCAGTATCAAGTTGAAGCATTTCTGAATTGGATCCATCCTCCATCCTAATCAGAGCAATCTCTACGACTGCCTGAAGGCAGGAAGCCTTTTTTATTTTTCCTGGAAGAGGCCAGTGCAACAAGAGCTTAGGTAGGGATGTCTGTCGTGATAACTGCTTGCAGTAGTTCTATGATCGCTATATTAATTTAATTCACAACTTACACTCTCTCATTGGTCTCCCCGGCTATCTTTTGTGCAAATTCAGGAGTGTACCATGGTCACTGTCTTCAGAAGGACAGCTCTGCTCTAGCGGTGCTTGTACTTTGTGCCATGCTGATGCCATGCATGTACCATGCAAGTACTTAGAAACATCTAGACAGCATCTTCATTGAGTTCATCCACATCCACTCAAAATCATGAACCAGCTTGCCAGGCTGACACGTGGGGTTCTGAGGGGAAATGGGGATGAGCAGGAATGCAGGAGGTTGGGGTTCCTGCTCCAGCTGCTGAGGCTTGTGGCTTTGTGATAGATCACTTCTCCTCCCTGTGCCTGCCTTATCTGTAATATAGGGGACCACGAGGCTTATTTCCCTTATGAGGCAGTTGGAGATCAGTGGGACAGAAGGAGTATGTAAGAGCAATTTTTGTGTTCCTGTTGGAAATTCACTTAGGTAAAGTGTGTGTTTATTGATCCTGCAAAAAAAAATTTTTTTTCCCTTCTCAATCATACATATTTTTGGGGACATCCCATGACCCACTTTGCAAACACTGGTGAGATGGAAGTACACTGTTACGCTGACAGTGTCATGAAATCATGACTTCAAAACAACAGAAAGAACCGCGGGAAGCATCCTCAGATTACTTGCTTGTGTAATACTTGGTGTTAAGTGTGAATGCAACACAGATAAAATAACAATGTGGCTTTATTAATTTATTCATTGTTATTAATTACTATGACCTTTGATGGTAATAGTTTTATTTTTTAATTCTAGCATCCAAGGTTCCTGCTGGCAGGACACAGGGTGCGTTGACAACCATGGAGAGCTTCATGGCGCCGCTGAGCACCATCGGTGAGCTTGGGCTTCAGCATGGCAAGGCCAAGTTCCTGCACAGCAAGCTGAGCGGGCCCTCCCGGCGCAAGCGGGAGTTCATGCCAGACGAGAAGAAGGACAACATGTACTGGGAGAAGAGGCGCAAGAACAACGAGGCAGCCAAGCGCTCGCGGGAGAAGAGGCGCCTCAATGACTTCGCCATGGAGAGCCAGCTGGCTGCTCTCAGCGAGGAGAACGCCGTCCTCAGGACAGAGTTGCTGTCGCTGAAGTTGCGTTTTGGGCTCATCAGCACAGACACTAGCACCCACCAGGGCTGCTCTGTCCAGGACTTGCTGGGAATTTATTTCAGAGGACATAAATCTGTCCCCCCATTTCCTGAGGCAGAGTCATTTCCTAGGGATTCCTGCTTCTTCATGGCAAACAACTTAGTGCCAAAGGTGCTGGAGCCAGCTGACTTCTCATACAAAAGCTTTGATCCATCCAGAAATATTCTCAGTTGTGCCTCACAGCAAGCTGTCATGGGCACCCAGTGTGACCTTAGCCGTCACCAGTCCAAGAGGCTTGATTCAGCCTTCAGATCCACAGTGTGCTCTCCTTTCCTTGGCTACCACTGCCCAGACAAATATGCCCACCAGCTCCCCCTGTCAGACAGCACCTGCTTCTTGTCCCCTTCCTCCAACCTAACTGAGGTGAGCAAAGAAAGTACCAGAACAGTTTCAGATGAAGACGATGAGCAGCAGGTGCCCAAAATTTCTCCCCTATCCCTGTACAGCTTGCCCTGCCCTTCAGAAGATTGTCCAAAGGGCCGAAGTTATTCTGCTCTGCCTCACAAACTCCGGATTAAGACCAAAGCCCTCGTCAGCTGGGAGGAGGGCGGCTTGGACTCCCAGTGATGTGGAGAAAAACGGCCTGCTCTTGGAGGCCAACACAGGACTTTGCTAAGACGTGAGGGGTTTAGGAGAGGGAAGGAGAAGGAAATGTCTTATGCTTGAACGTGGGAAGTATTTTTTTCTGTTTGACATAAATGATGGGGGGGTTTATAGGAGTGGGCTGCATCACTACAGCACAATTGCACGGCCTGCATTGGCCGTGATGCACCACTTGCCATGGGAAACCTGCCAGGACCTGTGGTCACTGTGCGAGTAAGTCTTAGTTTCACCCTGCTCACACACTAGACTGAAGTGCGAAAGGACCAAAGGCAGGAAGAGGCTAAGATAGTGGCCATGGTAGCCACACCATGTAATACAATAATGTCTTCATACCACAACTACAGCTGCTTGGTGTGGAAACCATTTTAATTCTCTTTTTATCTTTTCTTTCCACTTTTTTCTCCATCTTCATCCTCTTAAATGAAGTTTGTTTGGCATTTGAAAATAGAAATAGCTTCAGAAACCTTCTCCCCCCAGCTGTCTGGAGTAAGAAAAAGTAGAGTAATAAAAAGGCAGTAGATTTACACTGGTATAATAAATAAGGCATTTTTCAGAAATGAGCGTTCCATACTTGGAATTTATCTTTATTATACATTCTTTCAGCTTTAGCTGAGTTGGCCAATACACTTCCTCATTTTTAAATAGTTTTTTTTTTTTTTTAAATAAAAAAGACATTTTTACAGGAATTGCCAATTAACTGAATAGAATGCATTTCAAATTTTAGACTTTTTCTAAGTTATTTAACCAGATAAAATGAACGTGAGCATCTTAGTTAACATTAATCAGGTAAATCTGTTGGACTGTTGGACTCACAGTTGGATATACTCATTGATGACACTCTCCAAGTCCTAGAGGCTGAATCGAAGAGCTGACACGGATGTTTTTTCTTCAGTTTCAGTGTCTAGTATATCTGCAGCATTCAGAAATACTAAAGGAAGATAATACTAATGAGTGTGACCTTTTGGATCCATGCTAACTCAGTGTTCAGCATCATTGAATGAACCACAGATGTGGAGCAAAAAGGCTTGGACTTCCCCCCAAAAAAACAGTATAGGCCACGTAACTGCCTCAGAGGTTTCCTAGGCGTGGAGGAACTGATCTCCACCCCTGTGTGGAGGAGCCAGGAGACTGAGCAGAATAAGGTACCTCTGGCACTAGGAATGATATCTGGCACTAGGAATGATATACCTTCACAAGGCAGATGAGCCTGACTTCATTTGCTTTACAAAACAGTAACCAAAGATAGTTCTCAGGGATGTATTTCAGGTTTCTCCCGGGTTTGTTTTCCTACCTCTTCCGTATTTTGTCTTGTTTCCTGATAAAACAAGGCTAATGCAGTTCTGTGTTTCTGTGTCAACCTGTCATCCCTAGCCGCTTTTTTGCCTTTTTGGGCAAACACAGACCAATCTGATGGAAGACAAGAAATCTCAAAGAGAATAAGGAACCTCAGATTGCATGAGAATAGGTGATTTGAGCCAAAGAGGCCTTCTGTGCCTGCCCAGCCCTACTCGAAACTGAGGGAGTGACATAGGGCTCAACATTGTGACTCAGGATCCTCGCTTCACTAGTTCTGCTGCTCACAGAACTCCGTGGCTTTATGTGTTAAAATTTAGGGATTTGCGGAGCAAGGAGAGTTGTCAGGGATATTTTTTCTAGGATTTTGCTGGTAATAAATTAATGTTCCAATAATAAGGCAGCCTCACCGTCTGCTGTGGGATATAATTCTCATGTTTCAGGTCAGTTGGGAAACAGAATGCCCGTAATGTGAACTGTCCAGAGAACTGCACTGTGCTGTAAGGTGTGTACACCAGTTGTGCCTAATAAAACTCTATTCCAAAAGATGCCTGTTGGGATTGTGTCAGGGACAAGCTTTCCATCTCAGGAGTGACGAGAGCCATAAATGCATCCCCCGGAGCTAAGGCCTGTTCCCGAGGAGCAAGGGAGCTGGGAGGAAGGGCAAGGACCACCCGGCAGCCTGCACCGAGCTGCATGGGGGCAGCGCTCCTGTACTCGTGGGGTCGAAGGGAAACCAGAGCGCTGCTGCTGCTCTTCAGGTGTGAAACTTGATACAGTGATGCTTGCAGATTAAAAGAAACCACAAGTGTGTCCGTTTCCTGTGCTATTCCCCCTGTGCTCTTTTCCCCTCCAAACAGGTAGAAACAGCCCATAGCAAGAAGGCTTAGAGGTGGTTTGCTAGACAAAAAAAAAAAAAAAAAAAAACCCACCTCCTCCCTATGAGTGCCCTTCCCAAGTGTCATTGGGTAGGCTCTGCCAGAGCAAGGTAGACCTTCCTCTGTCTTACTGCTTGTTACAAACATTTTGGGATACAGCAAGCTGAAAACAAGCAGATTGGGTACCAGCAGTGGTCTAGCTTGGTGGCAGAGCTTAGTGCAGGCCAGTTCATCCTGTTGTTTGGGATGGTTTTTGCAGCACACGCTGTTTCTGGTGCTGGCGAAGGAGCCCCAGGCCTGCGCTGTGAGGGGTCCCTAGCAGAGTGGGGCCCGAGTGGTTTGCGCCCACAGGTGCCAAGCGCTGGGTTTATTCACAGGGAGCAGACGCGTTTCTTCTGAAGAGCACGAAGAGATGAGTAACCCTTCCTGTTCGCTGGCTGCCCGCTGGGGCGTGGAGGCTGGAGTTGGGGTTAATGGTGGTGCAAGGGAGTGCCGGGCGGCAGCAGGAAGAGCAAGCGGAAAGAGGGTGAAAAGGTGTGAGATAAACTGGCTCTCTTCTCATACCTGGCTCTCTCTCACGTCTCTGCTCCTCTTCCAACCATCTCCCTTCCTCCAAGTTCAGCTTTTCTCCTCTCTCTGTGGCCAAGCACCTGGTCAACTGTACTACCTCCACGCTTACATCTCCACATGTACCACCTTGTTCTTGAGCCAGTTTCCTCTTGGTAGCCTTGGTGGGGGGGGAAGGGGGAGCCAGTCCTCTCTTTTGACTACCCTGGCCTCAATTTGGCTGCTTAATAACATCCTTAATTAAGAGTGATTATTAAGCTAATTGTTTTAGTTAATGAAAGGCAGAGGACTTGCCTAGGAGGCATCTGACTTGGTTTCAGGTTCTGCTCAAGATAAAAACCTCATTCATTAATGAGCTTTCTCTCTTTCTCTCTTTCTCTCTTTCTCTCTCTCTCTCTCTCTCTCTCTCTCTCTCTCTCTCTCTCTCTCTNCTCTCTCTCTCTCTCTCTCTCTCTCTCTCTCTTTCTCTCTCTCTTTCTCTCTCTCTTTCTCTCTCTCTTTCTCTCTCTCTTTCTCTCTCTCTTTCCCCAAAGCAGTTTTAAGTAGTTCTGGAGTTGATTAATTATAGGAAGGAGTGTTATATAATAAAACTGAGAGTCTGAAGGAGAGAAGTAAGATATTGCCTGTCCTGAGCCACCTACTTGCCTTTGTGAGGAAAAGGATGTTGTTGGGGGAATGAGGTGGTGCACCCTTGAACTGTTTTCACATTAGAGAGAGAGAAAAAAAGGTGTAACTAGAGGATAATGATAGGGTTTTTTTTTTTTCCACATATAAACTCTTTATTTTAGGTTTGATTACAAGTACTCGCCAGCCTTGGTTAAGAGATCTACCCATGAATTCCTTGTCATCTCCTGGGAAACTTACTCTGATCTTTTAAAATCTGATTCCCAGATCAGATGGCTCAAAAGCACTGACTTAATTCAGCATGAGCTTGTATTTAAGGCTGTAAGGTTGCTTTCAACCAGTGGTTAGATACCTGTAAACTAATGCTACTGTTCAAACAGTATCATCATTTCCACTGGCAGTTATGGGCGCGGGTGTATCCATCCCACTTGGCATTTTTTGCCCTTTACAGAAGTAAAATTGAGAAATAAAGGGAGCAGGTTTGCAGGCAAAAAACAGCTAGTGTTGGCAAGAATAAACTCAAGAGCATCATCCTAGGGCCACGCTGGTCAGCATCCTGTCCCGAGGCACCTGTGCAGGGGCCCCACACCCGTGTTGTGGTGGTGGGACGGCTGTGGTGCCACCATGGCTCTCGTCCAGTGGGTGAGCACTGGCGCTCCTGGCCAGCCCGAGCTGCTCCGAAGCCACCACCACTTTCATTCGAAAGCACAACCTGCAGACAAAGAAATGCTGCATGAGCAGCAGCCTTCGGTTTTGCGTATGAGCTCGTGGTTACGGCACTTCACCAGGAAACAAAAGATTGTGCTTCAGTTCCCTCCACAGGCTGCAACGACCCAGAACAACTTTCCAGACCCTGTGGGAAGCTCCTGGCCCAGCTGCTGTCTCCCAGCTGCTCAAACCATTGCATGGCCGGGAATTCCGGGGCTGAGGACCTCGGAGGCCGGGAGGAGGGGCAGCCCAGGACCAAGGCATTTGCCGCCTTTGCAGCAGGGCTGAAGCATTCGGCGGCATTTAAACATGTCATGAAACTCTTTTGCCTTTTGAGCTTAATTTTCCAGTTCATCACAGGCAAATCTCACTCTTGCAATGTTATTTAATATTAATATTTTAAAGCAATACTTTCCCTTCTGCAAATATCCTCCTTTCATGATCAATAGTATTTTTTCCCTCAAATTTAGAGAAATATAACTATTTTCTATACCAGGTGGCAGTTTTGCTGATCATAATGGAAAATGCTCAAAAGCCCCATGCAAATTCCCAGAAATATAGTCTAGGTGCTAATTTGAGCAGCACCTCGGTGGCATCTGCTATGTAGTAAACACAGGCAGTAAGTGTGAGTAAGGGAAAAATAGTGAAATGAAGAGCAGGATTTTAGTGTCATAAAATTGTTCAATCTGGTGAGACTATGATGATGTGGAGAAGTTCTCAACTCACTGAACGCCCGTGGAAGAAAATGCAGGAGAATTTAATGTGGAAAAATACAAATCAACGCACATAGGAAAAAGCCATGACCTTAACAAATCACATAGGATAATATCAGATTAACAGCACTCTGTAGAGCAGTTTTGAAGTCCTTGTGAGCTCGTATTTTCAGTGTTGCGTGCTGTTCTGGTCCTCCTGCCCTCCAAAGGAGGCAGTAAAGAGAGGGCAAGGACGACGTGTAAGATACCAGGATTTCAGGTGGGAAAGGGGTCATTGAG